AAAAAAAAAAAAAAAGATACACCATCAGCAGTGCTTTTAAGCCACAAGGCTTTCTTGTAACAGTTTGGATTGCCATTGCTTTGAATGCTGTCAGCTCTGTACATTTATTAATCTGTAGTGTAACCTGGTAAGGCTAGAATGGTAGCCATGCTTAAAAGGTTGTTTATATGTTGCTGCTGTATTGGCCCACGTCTTTTTTTTTTTTGAGACAGAGTCTCACTATGTCACCCTTGGTAGAGTGCTGTAGCGTCACAGCTCACAGCAACCTCAAACTCTTGGGCTTAAAGAGATTGTCTTGCCTCAGCCTCCTAAGTAGCTGGGACTACAGGCACCTGCCACAACATCTGGCTATTTTATATATATATGTGTGTGTGTGTGTGTGTGTATAAGTTTAATTTTTATTAATAAATAAGGAACCTGCCATGACACCTGGCTAATTTTTTTAGTTTTAGTAGAAATGGACCAGCTCTTTCTCAGGGTGGTCTCACCTTCCACCTTGGCCTCCCAGGGATTACAGGTGTGAGCCTTTGTGCCCAGTCAGATCACTGCAGAATTTTGTCTTTCTTCCCTCTTATCTGTGGAAACAACAGCACTTTTATTTAAGGAGCTGATTTGGAGGATAAATTGTGTGCCCACATGTGGGTTTAGTGTGCTGCAGCTTTTTATACATGGCTATTTATGTTCATGGATCTGAAAAATATCCAAGTCATTTGTTTGACTTTCAGATGCATTATCTGCTTTTCAGTTGTTTTCACTGCTTTATCTAGTACTTTTTTTTTGGAGACAGAGTCTCACTTTGTCACCCTCGGTAGAGTCCTGTGGCATCATAGCTCACAGCAGCCTCTAACTCGTAGGCTCAAGCAATTCTCTTGCCTCAGCCTCCCAAGTAGCTGGGACTACAGGTGCTTGCCACAATGCCCAGCTAGTTTTAGAGATAGGGTCTCACTCTTGCTCAAGCTGGTCTCAAACTTGTGAGCTCAGGCAATCTACCCACCTCAGCATCCCAGAGTGCTAGGATTACACTAGCCACTGCTAGTGAGCCACTGCACTCGGCCCCATTTGTTTTGTCTTAACACTTAAAAAATTTCTACTTCTGGAGTCTCTAGCAACCAGTAATGTGGGCTGGTGACTGAAATGTCCTGGAGGGTCCATATGGATTGATGGGTAAAGGATACCTACTGCTGTTGGGTGGAATTTACTAGCGTTTAGTAGCCTACCAGATTTTACTAGATTTTGTTTTGATCAGTTTATGATTATTCTACCAGAGGGGAGTGAAGGAACAGACAAGAGGTAGAATTCAGACCATTCTTTTTCCTGAAGAGCAGGACGGGATTGCCTTCAGCTCAAGTAAAAGTGAACAATATCCGAGGTTAGGTTTACTTTAGTCCTGACTCCCCATGTAGACATAAATAATGGCACTGGAAAGGTAGAGTCTTCAGAGCTCCAAATGGTGATCTGTGAAGGTTTTGTATATATTAATTTTTAAACCTGAGGCTCTTGCGTAGTAGCTGGTAAAAATTCTTAATTTTCCCCTTGAAATAGGAATTACGTTTATCTCTGATCATCACTTCTCATCACATAGCCCCCCAATCACGCTCATCGATGTTACCTTGCTTTATTTTCTTCCTAGCTCTTACCACTGTCTGAAATTATCTTAATTTATGCTTTTGTTTACTTATATATAGTCTGTTTTCCCTCTCTTTAGGCTGTATCTCTAGCATAGTAAGTGTCCGGCACAAGCTAGGCACTCAGTAAATTTCAGAAGGAAGGAATATTTGCTAGGAATAGCAATAACTAACTGTTTAGGTATGTTGAGAAATTTTTTGGTTTGTTTCATGTTTTGTCTCTGAGAAAATGGAAATCTGTCCTCTAAACCAGCCTTCCCTAGCCTCCTTTCCTCAGCCCAGAAGCTGGATGTTGGGAAGAATGAAGATCAATGCTTTTCTGAATCTCTTCCCTCTATTCCACCTTAGCTTGCCAGCAAAGCACGGACGGAGAAAGAGGAGAAGCTGAGCCAGGCCTATGCAATCAGTGCTGGTGTCTCCCTAGAGGGCCAGCAGCTCTTCCAGACCATTCACAAGACGTGAGTTCAGGGAACAAAAGGTCCCGGCAAACGGGTGAAGCTATTTGGCTGTGCTGTCTGGTGGGAGACTTTTGGGTGGTTATCTTACTGGGGAAGTGGGTTGTGTACTGGCAATATGTCAGTATCCAGTACTGTGGGTGCTTGTTCCAGCCTTTCCACAGCGAAGGATAGTATAATCATGGACAGGTTGTTATCTCTGGGTTTTAGTTTCTTGTCTGTAAAACTTAGTTTTGCATTAGGTTATCTCTAAGAGTCCCTTCCAGACCTAGTTGTCCATAATTTAGAACTAGCAATTTCTTTCTTTTTTGTTGTGTTGTTGTTATTGTATTTTTCTAAAAGCTGATAGAGTTTTAATAAGGGAAAGTTCCATCTGTGTCAGTTCTCCCAAACAGATTGAGATGAAGACAGGGAGTTAGAGCAGAAGGCCACCTTCTCACCACCTCTTAAAAGACAGTTTGTCACAGCAGAAGTCATTTGACTCTCCACTAGCTTTCCTAGCTGCTGAAAACTGGAACATTTGACACCCTACCCCCCTGCTGCCTTCTGTTACCCTATTTAACCAGGGTCTGGTGCACAGATGGCAGCTGGCATCAGAGCTGTTTGAGGCCATGGTGTGAGTATCTGAACATTTACAGGTATGCAAAGGAATCTCTTAGTAGCATCTGCTGCCCTGGGATTCCCCAAGTGTGAACTGGAATGGGTTTTCCCAATCTGGCAGGTGCCCAGCTGTCTGATAACTGAGAAGGGCCAGTTTGAGGAGTGGTTTCCATTGTGAGTAATAGAAGGCAAAGGCAGAGATGACAAGATGTGGAGTTTGTTTTCTTGACTTTGTAAAGGTGGTATTTCTCCCTAGGCCTAGATTTGACAAACCTCCCCAGTGGGCCAGATCTTCTCATTTGTTTATGCACTGCTTGTGGCTGCTTATGTACTATAATAGCAGAGTTTAGTAGTTGGAGCATAGACCATATGGCCTGCAGAGCCTAAAATATTTACTTAGTGACCCTTGATAGAAAAAGATTACCAACTTTTGCCTAGGACTGTTACCTAACTTGAATCTAGTGGCCTGAGCCTAGCTATTTATTTATAACTATATTTAGTTTGGACTTTTGTGGCTACTATCAATTTTTTTATGGTTCTTTAGGGTGCTTGATGCTTCAGAGTAACAGCTCTGGGCTCTTCTCGGAATAGTATGCATGAGTTTCATTGCTTTCCTAGCCAGTGGTGCCAGGAAATGTTTCTTGGCTACTCCTCTCTGTGGGCTACTGGCTCTAGTTGTTGACTGAGGGGTGAGCTGGGAACTTGGTTAGCCTTTGGAAGTTTATTTATTCAGCAGGCTAGAGGTGCAAAGTGCCCCAAGAAGTAACATTTTACCTGCTCTCTTTTCCTTCCAGCATTAAAGACTGTAAATGGCAAGAAAAAAACATTGTAGTCATGGAAGAAGTTGTTATTACACCCCCATATCAAGTGGAAAACTGTAAAGGCAAAGAGGGGAGTGCACTGAGCCATGTACGCAAAATAGTAAGTAAAGGAGCTGGGAAACTGTAGGGAAGAGGGTGGTTCTTTGGCCTTCATCCTTCAGGGTCAGAGCAGGACATTGTGCTACAATCCCTGCCACCTCTAGCAGCTCTCCCTGGCTTCGGTGCCTTCCTTACACTGGGGCTCTGCAGCTGTGGCTTGGACATTTCCTCTGGGGATGGATCCAGTGGGTGATGTGGAATAACGTGAGTGGTGTGGGGCCTGAGCAGTTCCTTTCATCCCAGGCTGGGTTCTTGTCAGCTGCATGTGCCCTTCTAGGAAGGGCTGGTTGATATATGCTAGTTACTGTTGGTGTGTCTGACCCTACATATGTCACCTGACTTATTAGATTGTGGTACAGCCTTTATAAAAACACATGTAAAACACACTCCTCCCCCCCCTCCCTTTTTTTTTTGAGACAGAGCCTTAAGCTGTCCCCCTGGGTAAAGTGCTGTGGCATCACAGCTCACAGCAACCTCCAACTCCTGGGCTCAAGCGATTTTCCTGTCAGGTAGCTAGGACTACAGGCGCTTGTCACAATGCCCAGTTATTTTTTGGTTGCAGCCGTCGTTGTTTGGCGGGCCTGGGTTGGATTCAAACCCACCAGCTCAGGTGTATGTGGCTAGTGCCTTAGCCGCTTGAGTTACAGGTGCCAAGCCCTTGTGAGGGATATTGAGAGACCAACATTGTGGATGTGAAAAGCATAAGACTAATTCCCGTGAGCTTTGTATTCTGTACTTAGTAAAGAAGGGAGGAGGAGTTAAGGAGGAGTTAGTTGCTATAATCTTTCCACATTTTATTTTATATTTTAGCTTGTAGATTCAACTTCTAATCAGTCTTATTAGAAGATATTTCTTATTGGAAACAAGAGCCTTGCCCACCTGTGGTTGGGAAGGCCAACAGACAGCAAGAGTGAGAGTGCTTGCATGACTAATGGGCTGGACATCCAGTATGGGGATGTTGAAGCCTAGACTGGATTGTTTAGGAAACCTTGTTTGTCCATCTCCTTTTCTGACTTTGGTTGTCTGATCTTTTTCAGGTTGAAAAACATTTTAGAGATGTGGAAAGCCAAAAGATACTGCAACGTTCACAAGCCCAGCAACCACAGAAGGAGGCTACCCTGTCATCCTGAGTCCATATACATGGAGGACTCTTCCAGCATCCAGCCAAGGAGGCGGTGGTGGTGGCTTCAGCGGAGGCAGGCCGGGGGAGGGAAGGGATCCTATATGTCCTGTTGGCTCTTGTTAACAAAGGGTCAGCATTTCCAAATCTTAGACTTGAACAAACAAAACACCCAACAAAAAAGAACAAGAGAATAATTTAAAAGTTGAATCATTACTTGACTAACAGACTTCGGTCCACCATGTCCTTTTCACAGCCCCCCTTCTGGAGCAGTCACCTTGTTAATTTTATTTTTGAAAATTTCTTTCCCACTCTGCCCTTTTACTTCTGACTTTCCTTTCCTAGTCTGTTCCTGCCATTCTGTTTTTATAAGTGGCAACACTTGCCTTCTTGAGTGATTGAAAGAAACTTTTACATCTTTTCTTCTAAAATAAAAGTAACAAGCTGACTGTGATTCTTAAGTTGAGACCAGAGCAGCCAGAGGTCTCACTTTAATTTTTTTCTTTTCCTTTTTTTTCTTTTTCTTTCTTTCTTTCTTTTCTTTTCTTTGTTTTTTTTTTTTTTTTTTTTTTTGCACAGGGCATGGCTTGAATTAGTTTTATTTTTCTTAACTTTAAATATATATATGAAAATATATATTAAAATGTTCTCTAAATATTTTCTGCTTCTTGCAGGTCTCTTTTTACTAGATCATGGCCACTCTTCCCACCTCATCCCTCTGAAAATAAAAATGTATTACCCTTCCCACCACCCATAGCCAGACAACTAGCTTAACTCCAGCACAGCAAGAATCTCCTGCAGCACTTTGTAGAGCCAGTGTATGCAGATGGGATTTGGCTTTGAGGGTTCCTGATGGCTTTTAGTCTTTGTGTGTGCATCAGTCTCACATTTGACCCAAACCTCAGGATTCACTCTCTGCCTTTTGTCTTACTACATGGTACTAGAAGGAATCTCCTTACCATTCTCTCCAAATGGGAGAGTCAGCTGCCCTTCCTCCTGTGCCTCTGCAGGAAGAGCTTTTTTTGCATGGCACATCTCAGCTCTTCCTCCTTGAGGGATGATTTTCTTTTATAGGAAACCTGGAGTCCATCTACCCAGACTTCTCTTTAAATCTGTATCCAGAGCCGCTAGCCCAGGAAGAAGGTTGGCCAACCTACAGTTTCTCTTCTGCCATCTTCCTGCTCTTATGCCCCACTTCCACCTCCTTTAATTTTACAAGCTTATGACAGTTTGTATTTGCTCAGCCATTGGGCAGAAAACCTAGAAAGAATTTCTGGACTTTAGCCCACCACTTTGTCTGGTTTGACTAACCTGCTGAGAGCTAAAATTGGCATCCATTGCCCCTGTGCCCTCAGGCGGTCTCATGGGGCAGAGTATGCCACCATCTGATTATCAGGCACTGAGTGGGATGTGGGTGATGCTCATGTGACTGGCTAGAGCTTTGGGGGTGAGGTGGGGGTTAACTACTATTTTTTTGGCCATGATCTCTTTCCCCTTCCTTTTTTTTTAATTAAATAAATGGATCAAAATTAAATAATTCAAGCCCTGCCTTCAAAATGAATTTTTTTTTTTTAGTATTGTTTAGCAAAAACAATAAAACCCAAATTTTTTTAACCATCATTCATGTCTCGGGTTTGTGCATACTTTAGAGGCTCCAAAGGGAGGGGATTGAGGCATCCCAGGAGGGTGTGCCTGCTTGGTTTGACCTTCCTCTTTAGAATCCCTGCTTCCTACTCTACTTTCTCTTTCAACCCCTGAGAATTCATTCAGGAATACATTGCAAAGTGTTTAAGAAGGGGATTCAGGGTTTGGAGTTGTGTGTAAGTGGAATATGGAGGAAAAGGTATGGGTACCTAACTGAGACCATTTGTCACAGGACTTACTGGAGGCACAAATGATAAAAGATCTGGGAAGTAAACTCATGTCCATCTGCCATTGATCAGAACTTGTTTTAAGAACTGAGCCTTGGCTCGGCGCCTGTGGCTCAAGTGGCTAAGGCGCCAGCCACATACACCTAAGGTGGCAGGTTCGAATCCAGCCTGGGCCTGCCAAACAACAATGACGGCTGTAACCAAAAAATATCCGGGCATTGAGGCGGGTGCCTGTGGTCCCGGCTACTTGGTAGGCTAAGGCAGGAGACTCGCTTGAGCCTAGGAGTTGGAGGTTGCTGTGAGCTGTGATGCTATAGCACTCTACCCAGGGGGACAGCTTGAGGCTCTGTCTAAAAAAAAAAAAAAGAAGAAGAAAATGAACTGAGCCTTGGGTGGCACCTGTGGCTCAAAGGAGTAGGGCGCCGGCCCCATATGCCAGAGGTGTCAGGCTTAAACCCAGCCCCTGCCAAAAACTGCAAAAAAAAAAAAAACCCCAAAAAAACTGAGCCTCTGGCTGGGTGCCCATAGTTCAGTGGTTAGGGCGCTGGCCGCATGCTCTGGGGTTGCCGTGTTTGAACCCAGCCTAGGCCTGCTAAACAACAAAGAAAATAGCTGGGCGTTGTGGTGATTGCCTGTAGTCCTAGCTAAGGAGGCTGAGGCAAGAGAACCACTTGAGCCCAAGATTTTGAGGTTGCTGTGAGCTGTGACGTTATAGCACTCTGTGAAGGATGACAAAGTGAGACTCAATTAAAGAAACAAAAGACAGTTGTTGGAATGTAACTTAGTGAACTCGTGGGCACCTAGTGGTCCTTATATTTTAGGTTAACTGTTCAGACATAACATGTTTAAGGAGCCTTTTTTGAGTTCTGTTAACTTCTGGGTTTTTGTTTTTGTTTCTTTAATTTTGAGACAGAACTGTGGTGTCATAGCTCATGGCAGCCTCAAACTCTTGGGCTCCAGTGATCCTCTTGCCTCAGTGTTTCTGTTTTTAGTAGAGATAGGGTCTCACTTTTGCTCAGACTGGTCTTAAATTTGTGAACTCAAGGAATCCACCCACCTTGACCTCCCAGAATGTTAGGATTACAGGCGTGAGCCAATATACCCTGCCTGACCTTAACTTCTGTATGAGAGTGACTGAGTGAATGTTTGGGGGCTGGGGAAGGCAGAGTTTCTACTGGGGACTATGAAAAGCCAGTGATGTGGGGCATGGGTTGGAGTAAGGAAGGAATGCCCGGGATTTAAGGCATGAGCCACTGTGTCTGGCCAAGTTTATTTTATTTTATTTTTGGCCGGGGCTGGGTTTGAACCCACCATCTCCGGCGTATGGGGCTGGTGCCCTACCCTTCTGAGCCTTAGGTGCCACCCAGGTTTTTTAACTTTTGTACTTGTGTGACTTGAAAATGGGAATTTTATTTATTATTTATTTATTTATTTTTGAGATCGAGTCTCACTATGTCATACTCCGTAGTGTGCTATGGCATCACAGCTCACAGCAACCTCAAACTTCTGGGCTTAAGCTATTCTCTTGCCTCAGCCTCCCAAGTAGCTGGGATCCTGCCATAACGCCCAGCCATTGTTGTAGTAGTAGTCATTGTTTAGTAGGCCTTGGCTGGGTTGTATGACCAGTTGTATGTGGCTGGTGCCCTAACCACAGAGCTACCAGCACCAAGAATTTTTGCTGAGCTCAAGGCTCTGACAACCTTGTGTTGGTAATGTTTTCTTAAAGATAATTGGCATTGATTCCTGAAGTTTTCCAGTATAATTTGCTTGAACCAGGTCACTTGAATTAGTGCAGAGAGGCTTGAGATCAACCAAAGGCTCAGACCCTAAGTTAGTGGTAGCTCTGCTGCTCTTACTGTTCTGAGATAATCTATGTTATTGACCCTTTTTGTCTTGTCTAGTTGACCTTGACTTCTTAAAGGACTGTTTGGCTGGCCTAGGAAACAGTGGCCCAGTTTTGGATCACTGTTGGTTAATGGTTAGAAGCCTGCCTGCATTCAGGCAGGCCTGAGTACTGTCAGATTTCACCTCTAATTGGCTCCTAGTGAGGAGACATAAATACCCTGTTTCAGGAGATGCTGGATACTCTTTGAAAGGCCAGCATGGGGTTTTTTGACCTTTGGCTTAATGGGAACAAAAAAAAAAGCATTCCCTTCCTTTGCGCCCAGATAATACCTCAATGAAGGTCCATAGACATTGACAGATTTCCTTCTTTTTTTATTTTCAGTTTTTTGCCAGGGCTGGGTTTGAACCCACCACCTCTGGTATATGGGGCCGGCACCCTGCTCATTGAGCCACAGGTGCCACCCAACATTGGCAGATTTCTTTGGGAGGAAGCATAGAATGAAAGAGGAGACACTTGACTCCTTCCTGACCCAAAACAGGATCCCAAGGAATCTGAAGCTGCCATCCTGATCAGAGAGTGGAGATGGGTCTCCAGAAGTGAGTGATGAAAGAGGTAGAGGGCACCACTGTTAGGCAGGACTGGGTCCTCCTCCTCAGGGTACAAGGCCATGAGGCTTGGAGAGTTCCTCCTCCTGTCCTGTATCCCCACCTCAGGGCTATGGCTTCCCTGAGAGCTAGTTGTCCTATTGCTCTTTTTTTTTTTTGAGACAGAGCCTCAAGCTGTCTCCTTGGGTATAGTGCCGTGGCATGAAAGCTCACAGCAACCTCCAAATCCTGGGCTCAAGCGAGTCTCCTGCCTCTGCCTCCCAAGTAGCTGGGACCACAGGCCCC